CCTCCCGCGATACTAGGTTCTACCAAATCACGAAGCCGGGCCTCCCCGGAATACTAAATTACGAAGCCGGGCCTGCCCGAATACTAAATTACGAAGCCGGGCCTCCCCGGAATACTAAATTACGAAGCCGGCCTCGCCAAATGAGGGGGACCCCAGGATCGGCCCGGGTCCCTATTAAAAGTGCGATTTTTTAGTACTGAAATCGACGGTTCTGGGTGGGCTCTCGTTTTCTGGGTTTTTTGACCAAAACGGAGCTTTCACCTCAGGATTGCAAGTTTTTCAAGGTTTTTCAAGGTTTTTCAGCGTTTTTCAATGTTTTTTAAGGTTTTTCAATGTTTTTCAGTGTTTTTAAGCCTCAGAAGGGCCGCCCCCGCGACCTTTTCACAGCCTAGTTTTGGTCAAGGGGGGGTGGTATTTTTCAATTTTAAAGGCAAAATAGTCTTCGGAGACCCCCCCTTGCCTCAAACTCCGACCCCCCCTTGAGAGGGAAAGTTTGCCTCCAAAAACACCCCAAATGAGGGGGTACCCCAGGATCGGCCCGGGTCCCTATTTAAAATGTGATTTTTTAGTACTGAAATCGACGGTCCCGGGTGGGCTCTCGTTTTCTGGATTTTTGACCAAAACGGCCCCTCCCAGCCAAGAGGAAGCAAGTCCCCGGGCCTCCCCGGAATACTAAATTACGAAGCCGGGCCTCCCCGGAATACTAAATAAATTACGAAGCCGGGCCTTCCCGGAATACGAAAAAACGAAGCCGGGCCTCCCCGGAATACTAAATTACGAAGCCGGGCCTCCCCGGAATACTAAATTACGAAGCCGGGCCTCCCCGGAATACTAAATTACGAAGCCGGGCCTCCCCGGAATACTAAATTACGAAGCCGGGCCTCCCCGGAATACTAAATTACGAAGCCGGGCCTCCCCGGAATACTAAATTACGAAGCCGGGCCTCCCCGGAATACTAAATTACGAAGCCGGGCCTCCCCGGAATACTAAATTACGAAGCCGGCCTCCCCGGAATACCCGGGCTCCCCGGAATACTAAATTACGAAGCCGGGCCTCCCCGGAATACTAAATTACGAAGCCGGGCCTCCCCGGAATATAAATTACGAAGCCGGGCCTCCCCGGAATACTAAATTGCGAAGCCGGGCCTCCCCGGAATACTAAATTACGAAGCCGGGCTTCCCCGGAATACTAAATTACGAAGCCGGGCCTCCCCGGAATACTAAATTACGAAGCCGGGCCTCGCCCGAATACTAAATTACGAAGCCGGGCCTCCCCAGAGAGGCCCCTGAATCCTAAATCCTAAATCCTAAATCCTAAATCCTAAATCCTAAATCCTAAATCCTAAATCCTAAATCCTAAATCCTAAATCCTAAATCCTAAATCCTAAATCCTAAATCCTAAATCCTAAATCCTAAATCCTAAATCCTAAATCCTAAATCCTAAATCCTAAATCCTAAATCCTAAATCCTAAATCCTAAATCCTAAATCCTAAATCCTAAATCCTAAATCCTAAATCCTAAATCCTAAATCCTAAATCCTAAATCCTAATTTTTAAAGGGGAAGGATGGGGGTCTAGGCTTTAGGGTAATAAAATATGCTTTAGGGCTGTACGCCCTGTTCCCTCTTTCAAAGCTGTGAGGAGTGCGTTACGGTGCCAGAAGCTAACTCTTCTGGCACTAAAGAGAGCATCTGCCTCCAACTGCTAGACTGTCGCTACTCAGTTGTCGGCTGCCGTCGCTAGAGGCTCGGCGGGCTCGCTGCGGCCCGCTGCCTTGCCGGCAGCTAATCAGGGGCCTTGCTCGCAGTTTAGGGTTTAGGGTTTAGGGTTTAGGGTTTAGGGTTTAGGGTTTAGGGTTTAGGGTTTAGGGTTTAGGGTTTAGGGTTTAGGGTTTATTTAGGGTTTAGGGTTTAGGGTTTAGGGTTTAGGGTTTAGGGTTTAGGGTTTAGGGTTTAGGGTTTAGGGTTTAGGGTTTAGGGTTTAGGGTTTAGGGCGTCTCGCCGCGCCGCGGCAGTAGATGTCATGCAGAGATGGCGCCCCAACACACCCAGGGGGTGTGAGGGGGCGGCCTTTGTCGTGGCGGCGTATATTGAAGTTGGAGCCACCACAACCAGAAAGGTTGGGTTGTTTTATTTTTCCCACCCCTGCTCACCCAACTTTTCTCCTTTTAGGGTTTCCCACTTCCCACCCCCATACTTTGATCGGTTGGGCAGGAGGTTGCTGTGGCTGTGGACAGGAGGCACAGAGGGTCAAGGGGCCGGGGTCAGGGGGGGATTGGGCGAGGGGGGTCACCCATTTGGGGGCAGGACGGGGGCGGCCAGAAGGGAGAAAGGCCAAAAAAAAACCTTTTTTGGGCTCTGGGGGGGGTACCTACCAGGGAAAAACACCACCGAAGGCTTTTGCCACAGGCTTTAGGGTATTCTCATCAAGAGGAGGATCATGCCCCTTGTAAATAGAAGGCACCACTTGAATGGTCCTAAAGCAAGGCTCAGCCCTAGGGGCTGTATTCGACCACTCTCCAATGTCACCACCCATTGTCCATCCAGTCAAGGTGTATCTCGCTGCCGGGTATAATTCTGGGTCCAGGCACCCTAGTATAGGGTGGGTACGGCCTAAGCAGGCCGGGTGGGAATTTAGGGTTTAAGGTTTAGGGTTTAGGGTTTAGGGTTTAGGGTTTAAAGTTTAGGGTTTAGGGTTTAGGGTTTAGGGTTTAGGGTTTAGGGTTTAGGGTTTAGGGTTTAGGGTTTAGGGTTTAGGGTGTGTCAGGGGAGGGCGCGCGGTCGGGTGTGAAACGGCCCGGGCCGCGCGCTATACCCCCCAAGATCCAGCAACGCGCGGTAGTTTCTGAAAGGGGGGGGGGCTCCCATAGCAATTCCAGCAGGAGTGACCTGAACCGTTTGCTCGTGGATTGCATGCTGTGAATTGAAATAGGAATCCTATTCGTTCGAATAGGGTTCCTATCAAACTTAATTAATAGGGTTCATAGGGTTCGTTTGAATTTAATAGGAGTCTTATTAAAATGATTGGAAACGCTTCAAAATGCATGAGAAATTCAATAGGAACCCTGCTCAAATTAACAAGAAACCTATAAAAAATTATAGGGATCTTATTAAATTTGTAGGAGCCTTGCTAAAATAAGTAGGCGCACTTTATTGGAATCCTAGAAACAACAATAGGAATCCTCTATTTAAGCCCATAGAAACCCTAGTTAGTTTAAATTAATCGGAGCCGTAAAGTCAATAGGAAGCCTCTTGAAATGATTAGGAGGCCAATCACAAATAAATGAAACTCCTAGTACAAATTCATTAAACTGAAGAGGAACCCTACGAGAAGTCATGGGAACCAATCGGACTCCCATAAAAATGATGTGAACCTTTAGAAAAATAGGAATCCTACTAAAATGAACATGAGCCTAAACCAATAGGAATCCCTTTAAAATGAGTGAGATCCCTACTAACATTAGTGCGAACCCCATTAGCATGAATAAGAATCTTATTAAAATTGAGAGGAATCTTACTTATTGCATGAATAGGAGCCTTATTCACATAATTAGGAACCCTATGAAACTTTATTGGAATCTTATGAAAATAAATACGAATCCTCTATTGAAGTATCGGAACCGGATAAAGTTAATAGGAAGGAAGCCTATTAAAATGAATAGGAACCCTTAACAAATTTAAAAAAAAAGGCTTACAATTCACAAGAATCCGATTAACACGAGAAGGAATCTTACTACAATTAATAGGAACCAATCAATCAATAGGCCTCAAAAACCATCAGAATCCTTTAACAAGAACTAATAGGGATCCTACTTAACTAATATGAGCCTAACCCAAGAGGAATCCTTTCAAATTACTGAGAACCGATCAAAATTAATGCGAATCCCAGTATCATGAAGAAGAACCCTGTTTAAATTGATAGGAACCTTATTAAATTGGCGGGAGCCTTATTGACATAATTACTGTGGGAACCCGATGAAACTTTATAAGAACGACATTGTCGTTGGTTTATGCCTTTACCTAAAATAACTTTGATTTGTTTTGCGTGTTCTTTGCTCTTCAGAAAGGTCATCATCGCTATTTGCAGTCGAAGAAGCCTTTGGAAATTAAATACTTTGATTTACGACAATGCGGCTTAGCTTAGAATCCTCTATTGAGGTCATAGAAACCCTATTAAAATTGATCGGCGCCGGACAAAAGATAACAGGAAGCTATGAAATAAATAGGAACCCCCAACAAACTAGAACAAACCCGGTTCTGATTGATAGGAATCCTATTTAAAATGAGAAGGAATCTTATTAAATGCACCAAATTCATGCAGAACATTGGATGTTTGAAGCATGGAGCCGAAAAATATCGGCAAAAACAATGTTTCCTAAAAAACCATGGCTTTCACACCATGTGGCTGGGAGTACGAAATTCATGGATAACATTGGTTGAACCGATGTGTTTCAGCTCCATCTTTCAAAAACATCGGTCAAACCAATGTTATCCATGAATTTCGTGCTCCCAGCCACATGGTTGGAAAAACATGGTATATTTTGAAAACATTGGTTTTTCCGATGTTGTTTCGGCTCCACGCACCAATGTTGTGCATAAATTTCGTGATCCCAGCCACATGGTTTGAAAACCATGGATTCTTTGGAAAACATTGGTTTTACCAATGTTTTTGAAGGAAGGAGCTGACAAAACATTGGCAAAACCAATTGGACACTATCTTTTTTATTCCCTCGTCGTTCATGTGACCAGAATACCGAAACTCGAAGCCGTCGAGAAAAAACAACAAAAAAAACGTGCAGCCGGGTGACCTCGCAAGAGCAAACATGGTAGGTACATGGGGGGGTGAACGGAGTTTAAGGCAGAACTAACACTGCAGGTGCAATCACTTTTGACGGCTTGAGCCAATGTCGCATGTGTATGCTCACTCATTGTGAAACATGTTGTGTGACACCTACAAATCTAAACACCCCTCCTAAGCCAGGTGGTCATTTGACCCATTGGCTTCACACGAGCCGTTTGGCTGCTCCGGCTCGTCCAACATGAAAACGCAATCCCATGTTCTTGAGGTGTTTGAGCATTGCCACTTCGGGCATTGGTTTGGTGCAGATGTCGGAGTAGTTCTTCTCCGTGCCTACACGCTCTAGCTCCAGAGCTCGCGTGGCGACTTTCTCTTGCACCCACAAGTATCTTGTTTGCACGTGGCGTGCTTGACCCAGGCCCTGGCGCTGGGTAGTGCCTCGGGCCGCCGAGGAATCAGATCGAATCCGCAGACTGACCTTTAATCCCCAGTCTTCTAGCATCGCCTGTAGCGACAGACCTATTGACCCTGCTCGAACTATAGCGTAAAACTCGCTCTCTCCACTCGAGAGGGAGATCGTGCTTTGCACGTTGCTTGAGTGTTTCACGCAGTGCGATCCAAGCATTGTCACCAGTCCCGTGGTTGACCTCCGCGTGATGAGGCAACCAGCGTGGTCTGAGTCGCAGTACATCACAATCTCTTTGCTGAACCGTTGCGGGTGGTACTCGTAGATCAGCCGTGGATTTCCGCGTAAGTAGCGGACAAGCCTCTTCAGATCGGCCCATGCCCACTCTGTGGGTTCTTTCATATGCCGCGCTAAGCTCTTCGTAGCCTCGGCAATGTCTGGACGGTCCTGCGCAAGGAACGCTGCCCTCATCGTATGAGACCGATATGCTTTCTGAAGTTCGGCATTCAACGGCTGCGCTTCAAGCATCGCCTTCAGGTCACTTCCCTTTTTCTTTTCTGCTGGCGTTTTGGCCGCCTTCGCAGACTCCAGTCCAAGGTCGCGCACTAGGGCTTCCGCGTGCCTTGGATCCGCTTCGTACGTAACAGTTCCTGTCTGGCTGTCATAGCTCACGACCCGGTTCAGGACAGTCATGCTATCCTTTTCACACTCAGGTCCTATGTGGCCATCACACTTGAACTCGTACTCTTCAGACAGTACTTTGTCTACAAAGCGATGTCCATCTTCGTCTGCCAAGACTAGGAAATCGTCCCCATGCACCAATAATCTCACGTCGGCTTCGGCATGATAAAAGGTACACGGATATGCTTTTCCCACGACAAACCCGTGCTTGCGTAACAGGCTTGTGTACGATCTCTGCCATACAGCTGAGGCATCACGGGTGCCATACATGGTCCGTTTCAACAGACCACAAAAGCCGGGAGCTTCATCTCCCTCGGGAAGTGTGACAAACACACGTCGTTCTGCTTTTCCATAGAAGTGTGCACGTGATATGTCTGTCAGCTTCAGCGTGAGCTTCTTTCCGCCCTTTGACCTCTTGAGTGTCGTCAGCAGACTGCATAGGATCTTCAATCCTTCCAGAGGTGGCATTGAGGAAAACAGCGCGTAGTCTGGTATCAACGCCGCTTGTCCCTGTGACTTGACCTCGCGGACTACCAAACGACTGCGGTAGTTTTCCCGAACATCATCCCCTTTGTTGCGGTCTACCCACTTCAAGGTTATGGGCGGACGACCTGTTTCGTCCCAACACACGCTCTCTTCGACTTTCTCGTACACACCTTGCTTTTTCACCCAAGCAAGTTCTGACGCTCTTGCTTCCGCAACCTTTCTGGCATCAAGTTGTGCCCCTGTGTTTGCGTCTATGACGGGCTCGCTTACGTGAAGCTGCCCTGCCTTGGGTAAGGTGTCATGGAGATACTCTTCGAGCGGTGGCTCCTCGTGTGGGTCAGGTCCACCCACATGGCCCACCTCCTTCATTTCTCCATCCAGAACCAGTTGTGCTCGCACTCCTGCCAGTAGTGCTCTTTCAAGCTTCGGAGGATACTCGGCCTTGGCCGTCACGATCCCCTCCTTGAAGCTTAGCGTTCGGTTCCACACCTTCGCATTGCCCTTGCATAGCTTTTCCAGCGCTGTTGCAACCGTCGCCGAATTAGTAATCCAGCGGGTTCGCTTCTTGCCGGATTGGCCTGCAATCATTTTTCCACTTTCGTCAACTTTCCACTTGCACATTGGGCCTTCAACCAAGTACGAACCCATCCTTTGAGCAAGTTCATGCTCCCAGGACTTAGTTCCCCTTGGGCACTCATAGAGGAAGTAGTTTCCGGCTTCCTTCTGTGCCTCGAAGGCCTCAAAGCAAAGCCCCAGTTGAGATCGGGCCTTCCTCAAATTTCCGCGTCTGGTCTCGACTCCAATCTTGTTGGTCATGTCGAAAGCACGTTGTACTGACTGGAAGGGTCCAGTGGGCAGCTTGCCCACCAGAAGCTTTGGCTTCACTTGTTCCAGCTTTTCGAAGAAACGCAAATGCTCGGCCTGAGCGAACATCGGCGGCTCTTGGTCCATTGGCAAGATAATGCCTTCATTCACCATGCTCCAGGGCACAGCTGAATTGCCATTACCTCCCAACTGTAGAACCATAGAGTTTATGGCCTTCGCTTCGGTCGGGCTGCACTTGAGCCCCTTTTGTTCGAACATCCGCGTAATCAGGTTCATTCGCACTTCCTCGTTGGCTGGCGGCGGATTCGCCGTTGCTGTGTCGTACATTTCTGCATCTGCTCGTGCTTGTTGGTGTGAGTGGTCCAGGCCGGGTCCTGCAGAGCCACTTGCTCCCCCTTGCACGTGTACTCCAATGACCTCGACATCTGGACCATCGGTAGCCCTCGTGCTGGGCTCTTCCCGGTAAAGGTCCTCGACGGCGCGCTTCCGCTGTTTCGGCTCGGCGCGGTCCTCGACCTCCATTGGTCTGGACAAAGGTGCGCCTGCCGCTTCCTCTGCTGCAACATCCATTGCGTCGGGGGCAGGTCTTCCTTCCAGCGCGGGTTGGTCTCTTTTGACCCGCTTTCCGTAGTCCTTTTCAACTCGCTCTTGGGCCCTTTTCACTCTTTCTTTTCCCTCGTCGGTTTCTTGCAGTCTTCTCTGCACTCTCATCCTGCACTCGTCATTGCGCGCTCGCTGCGGGAGACCCATCAGCTGCGCATCGCATCCCGGACACTGAGGCGTGTAGCCGTACAGCTCAATGTCGGACTTCATGACGCACAGGTTGCGTGCCTTGAAGTCTCGGTGTTGTGGCGCGGGTTGTTCGCCTTCGAGAGCGGGCATACCGACTCGGTTGGGCGACGCTCGCTCTTGTGGACCGGACATCCTCCAAGGCAATCCGCGTAGCACTTCGAAACCTTCAACAGGCCATTTCTCATCCTCGGGCCTCCTGTGCAAGGAGTGGCCCCGGGATATACCCTCGGACGTCATGATCAGCAAGTCTGCGTTCCTCGACGCAGTTCCGACGTAACGTCCCATGCAAACTCTTGCATCTAGGCTTCCTCGCTTGTGTCTCGAACCAACTGGCTTGAACATCACCTGTTCGCCAAAGACAATGGTAGGTCGCCTCCACGGTCGGCCCAGCGTCCTTTCGTAAGCTGACTTCCCGTCTTCGCCAATGCGAAAACGTGTCATCAAGAACGCTGCATGCCTCGCGATCCAGGCGAGAATCGGGTGGTCCACGCCCACCTCGATCTTAAGCTTTGTCTCCAGCTCCGACAGGATAGCTCGGACCATTCGCTTCACCTCTCTCACTGCGGCCTCGGCTATGCCGTTCGATGGCGCATTCTCGTGTTCCGTACTTGTAGGACTCTCTCTCAAGTCGAACACTACATTTTGGACTTCTTCGGAGGCCTTGAGTTTGAGCGCACGGAGGGCGTGTTCATTATCTGAGAATAAACACATCCTCTTCCATCCGGCCTCGCGTATCACGCTGGCCAACCACGTGACGTTGTACGCATGCGTGCCTTTCTCGGGCAACGAGGTTGCCCAAGTGCGCTGCGTTTTGTCGCACCGAACCACCAGGCGCGGCATCACGTCGTCTTCCTGCTTTTCTTTGCCCAGGAAGAAGTAGTCCATGTGTAGCGTCGGCAAAGATGTCTCAAGTTCGGCTCTCCGAATCCGGTAATGTGGATTCACCATCTTTCGCGCTCTCTGGCAGTGGACGCACCAGGAACGGTGCACCGCGTGCCCCGAGGCTTCGTGCTGTGCGATCTGGTCAGCCGTTGGCTGGTCTGGGCTCTTCGGCACTATCGCCCTCTGTTGTTCTTCGCCTGGAGCCTCCGGCTCCTCGGCAAAGCGGTCGTCTTCAGTGCCTCCTTTTTCCTCGCTTGGCTGCTGCTGCTGTTGTTGCTGTTGTGCTGCTGCTGGCACTTGTATGCTTGCGCTTGCTCCTTGTTGTGTCGTTTTCCTCTCTTTCTTCTCTCGCTCTCTCTCTCTTTCTTCTTGTCTTCCTTGGCTAACACCTTGAGCGTTGCCTTTCCGGCGGCTTTCCTTTTTGCCGCTTCCTCAACCATCTCAGCCTCTTCGTCTAGGGGTGAAACGCTAAGCCCGTTGGGCCTTACACCGTCTACGGACGCCCCGTGAAACCCAGGCCGTCTTGGCCCTTGCTTCCGCCCTTCACTCCTTTCTTCTCGTCTTGCAGAGGAAACACGTAGATGCGGTTCTTCACTTGCATCTTGGCTCCGACACCCTTGTGCTTCCAAGCCAACTGGCGCAACGCCTCGTCGGCCTCCTTAGCGAAAGCAGTTCCTTTTGGGACCAGCAAGCCTCCTGTTCCGTGCAGAAACGCAAAATGCGTCTTGCACGCCTGTGCTCCTGACAGGAGTATGCGGTGGACCCCGGCGCCTCGGCCGGTGATCGTGGCCCCACGGCCTCCCGACAAAGTGCCGGTGACCTCGGCTTTTCCTTGGTCTTTCAGCGCCTCACCTGACGCCGTCTTGTAGCGGACGCCGTTGTCCTTTGGCTGCGTCACGTACTTCTCAGGCAGAACGGTCACGGCCGCTCCCGTGTCAAAGTTGACCTCGACGCTAGCCACGCCTGGCGAAGCGCCCAGGCTGGCAGCATCCACGGTCTCGAAGCTGTGCACCGATTGGCGCACGCCTCCTTCGCCCGGGTCCTCCGGGTCTTCTCCTCTTGGGTCGCGGCGGTCGTCGTGGTCTTCACAGTGCACAGTCTCTTCGTCGTCGTCTTCGCTTTTCTTGACCTTCTTCTTTCCTTTGTGCTCTGGATCCCAGGTCGACCCAAGCTTCCTCTTCAGCTTGTTGCGCCTTTGGTTTCTCTTTTGGTTCCTCTTCTTCTTCTGCTCGGCCGCAATCGACGGGTCCGCCGAGTAGCGCCCGGTCGCCTTCGGCCTTTCCTGCTTTTCGAGCTCCTTCCGGTAGAGCTCCTCCTCGTCGTCGGCATCCACGCGGTGGCTCGTCCTTTCGGCTTTCGTGAGGGGGTGGTAGTCCTTTCGCCGCTCGGGCTTGGCCTCCGTCCCATCGCTGTGGATAACCTCCGTGTCGATGCCGTCGACCTCTTCCTTCTGGTTGTCGCGGAAGTCGCCCTTTTTCATTTTTCTCGTCGTGTCGGGCGTGCCACTTCTTGTCGGCCTCGATCCTCTCCTTTGCTCTTTCGCCCACACCGCTGCGTCTGTGCTCTTGCGCTCTCCTTCGTCCCTTTTCCGCACGCCAAGCCTTCCAGTGGCTGTCTCCCTTTTCCACTTGGCGTTTGTAGCGCACGTCGTGCACCGACTGGTCTCTGCGGTGTTCGGGCTCCTTTTTCTTCACGCCCGCTTGCTGCGCCCTAAGGCGCTCGCGCTCCTCTTTCAGGCGCTTCCGCTCGTCTTCCAGGCTCGCGATCTCGGCTTCCAGCTCTGGGTCACTGCCGCGTCCCTCGAGCTTCTCTTTCTTTGTCGCGATCCTCTGGTCCAAGACCGCGAGGTTCGCACGGTTGGTCTCCATAAGACCCGACGCTAGCATCCTCTGCATGCTGCTCGAGGTGCTTGCCGTGATCGCGGTTGCTCCTTCGGTTCCTTCTTCCTGCTTTGGTGGCTTCTTCTTTTCTTCCTTCTTGGGCTCCTCGGGCCCCTCGCTTGGAGGGTCATCCTCGAAGTCGCTTTCGTCCTCGGAGCTCTCCGGCTCCAAGGAAAACTTGTCTTCTTCTTCTTCTTCACCAGCGGCTTCTTCCTCCCTTTGCTTCACCTTCTCGGCTACCTTTGCGCTCCTCAGTTCAGCCTTGCTGGGCCTGTCGGCCCTCACAAGCTTTTCTCTTTCGAAAACTTTCCTGGCGTAGTGGGAGCCCGCTGCTTTTGCAGCTGCTGCCTTGTACTCTTTCATCCTCTTCTTCAGCAGAAGGGACGCTTTGCTCCTGAACTTCAGTCGCCTCGACACGCAGGTGGAGCAGGCCTCGCCTTGCTTCTTCAGTAAGGACTCCCCGACGGTGCCTCTGGGCTTCTTGTCTCGTATGGCATCTTGGTGGGCCACACGTTCCCTGAAGCGCATTCCTGCCCAAGACGCCGGACTCCTTAGAAGCTTTGGCTTTGCCTTCGCCACAGGTCTTTGGCTCCTTGAGGCTCCCCACTTCGGCGCTGTGGTAGCAAGTTGTCTCTCCACCTCTTCGCTTCTTGGCTGCACTTCTTCACTTCTAGGTGGAGGCTTCGAAGGTGGTGACTTTGGTTCTGTTCTCTTCGGCTCTACCTTTGGCTTCGAAGGTGGTGACTTTGGCTCTGTTCTCTTTGGCTCTACCTTCGGCTTGAGAAGCGGACTTTTGGTCCTGGAAGGCGGTGGTGACTTCGGCGGTGTTCTCGGCCTTTCTTGCTTCGCCTTTGGAGGGGTCCTGGGCTCAGGCACTGGTGGCTCCCGGTAGCGCGAAACGCGCTTCCAGGGTGCCGTGTCCAAAGCCTTAGACCTCACCTCCTTCTTCTCCTCTTTCTTTCCGGCCTTTGGCTCGCGCACTCTCTCCGGAGGTCCTCGCGACGAAGACGAAAACGCTCCGAAGCTGGACTGCCCTGGCACCTCGCCGCGGGAACGTCTCCTGGCTTCTGCCAGCTCTTCCGCTTCCTGAAGAAGTCTTTCCTGGCGACGTCTCCTCGCAAGTTCCACCTTTTCCTTCAGGTCTTGGAACTGACCCCTTGCTCTGTCCATTTGCTCTTCCAGAGCTTCCAGCTCCTTTTCATCCTCGTCTTTTTCCTCCTTTGGAGGAACCTTCCTTTTCGGGTTCTTTGGCGCCATGGCCCCAAGCACGGTCGGGCCGGAGCCCTCTTCCCTACTTGAGCCACGACTGCCGGGGTCTGGCTTCGACTCTTTCTCCTTCTTCTCTTTCTCTCTCTTCGGGCTCTCTCTTTCTAATGCTCCCACGTAGAGGTTGTTTGTTTCTGCTTCCTCCCAACCGTCCTCCCAGGTTTCTCCCCAGTCTCCGTCTTCCCAGCCTTCATCCTCTTCTCCTTCCTGCCAGTTCTCGTCCTGGTTTCCTTCTCCTGTGTTCTCTCCTCCTTCTTCTATGTTTCCTACGTGTTTCTTGTTCTTACCACCTTTCTTGCCTTTTCCCTTTTTGCCTTTTCCTTTCTTACCTTTTCCTTTGTCCTTTCCTCCTTTGGGGCTCCCTCTTCCTCCTTTGCTGCTTGGTTTTCCTCCTTGTTGCCCTGGACCTTTGGGTGAGCCCCGTTGCTGCTGCGAACCTTTGCCTCCATTGCTCCAGCAGTCGCGGGCATAGTGTCCGCTCCTGCCGCAGTTGTGGCACACGACCTTGCTTGCTCCTTTTCCTTTGCCTCTCTCCACATACGACAGGTCCATAGGATCATCCTTGCTCGCCGCACTGGCTGCGGCTGCAGAAATCACCTTCAGACTCTTTCCTGTCTTGTACTCGATGAAGCGAGTCACCTCGTCGAGCACGTCGTCGTACGTGGAGAACCGGCTCTGGTTCAACTGGATGTGAGACTCCAGCTCCTGTGGCAACATTGCCTCCAGTGCTGCCATCTTTATCTCATCAGCCAGGGTCGTTCGTCGCCCTGCGCTGTCCTTGCGCTTCTCGTAAGTGCGCACAGCGTCGGCCCATTCTTCGATGGCCTGAGGGAGATTCTCCAGCTTCTGCTTCTGGGGCGATATAATCGCTCTCAACATCGTGCGCTTCCTGCTTGCAGTCGCAGGATCGTATCGCCTCGTAAGGCGTCTCCATGCCTCGAACCCGTTGTTCTGGCAATTGCACACGATCGTAAATGGTTCCTTCGAGGTAACCATTTGGAGCGCGTTCGCGAGCTCCCTCGACTTTTCTTGCAGTCTGGGAACTCGATCCGCCTCCAACGCCTTTTCTCCAAAGGCTGTGTCCAACTCCTCCGAGGAGAATGGCTTCTCCCTCTCTTCGAGCCACTCTAGAACTTCTTGCAGATCATGGTGGATCGAACAAACGTAGCTCGACATTCGATGCCTCCATGGTAGGAACTGTTCACTCTCACCTGAGAAGGTCGTCGGCTTTCCCAGGCCCTTTGTGTCGACCAAACAGAGCTTCTCGTTTGGTCCTCCTTTCTTTGCCATGGCCTCAACCAGTTCCTTGTTCGACTTGACCATGTCGCTCACCAACTGTGGCATCGTGCCCATCTGAGCCGTCGCCTGCTGCACTGCCGTATGCGCTTGTGCTCGCACTTCCGCAACTTGAGCTGCACTCTCTTGCCGCACTCGCTCAAGTGCTGTGCTTTGCTCGGCCCTTAGCCGATCATTCTCTTCGCGTTGCCTTGTGAGTTCGTTTCTCAGATTCACAAGCTCCTGCATCACTTGCGCTGCAGTCACTTGTGCCTGTTGCTGTTCCTGGCTGCTCATCGCAAACGATTAGCCAGCCGACGGCGGAACTCGCTGCTTTGGACGAAAGTCTGGAGATGCTGGCCCAGGAGGCCCCAAATCCTTTGCAGTCGCCTAATCCGATAGAGTAAACGGATCAAGCGTTCCCAGCGGTGCACAGCGGGAGCTTGCACCACAGCAAAACCTTCGTTGTCACTTTCAGCACTTTCGTCAGCAAGGTCGCGTCTGCTGTCCATTCAAACCGACAGCTCCGCTACCATGAACGGAGTTTAAGGCAGAACTAACACTGCAGGTGCAATCACTTTTGACGGCTTGAGCCAATGTCGCATGCGTATGCTCACTCATTGTGAAACATGTTGTGTGACACCTACAAATCTAAACAGGGGGGAACCATATACATATATATATATATATATATCTATATACATATAATGGTACCCCCCCCCCCCCAAAAAAAAAAAAAAAAAAACAAAAACTACCATTTTTATACTTTTTCCTATACTTTATCGTGATGCGTGGCACGTTCCACAGATGGACCCGATTCAAAATTGAATCGGCCCCCCAACTGAAGATTGAAGATTGAAGATTCCCAGGAACTCTTTCTGAGAATCTTCGATTGTCAATCTTCAGTGCGAGGGCCGATTCATAATGAATCGGCCGATTCAATTCTGAATCGGCCCCAGTTTTGAAGATTGAAGATTGAAGATGCCCAGAAAGAGTTTCCGAGAATCTTCAATCTTCAGTCTTCGGTTTGAGGGCCGATTCAAAATTGAATCGGCCGATTCAATTTTGAGTCGGCCCCAGCTTTGAAAATTGAAGATTCCCAGAAAGACTTTCTGAGAATCTTCAATCTTCAATCTTTAGTTTGAGGGTCGATTCAAAACTGCATCGGCCGATTCAAGTTTGAATCGGAAATATCTCATCATTGTAATCGTTAATCTTGCAAAACAAACATAGTTTTAAAACTCCCCTTCTGGCACAAGGGAGAGTTTTCAAGCTCCTGGCCCCGAAGACTGAAGAATGAAGGTTGCCCAGAACTCTTTCCGGGAGTCTTAACCTCAACTCCTCCCCCGAAGATTCAAGATTGAAGGGTCCCCATAACTCCTTCCGAGAATCTTCAATGTTCAATCTTCGGTGGGAGAGTTGTTAGACCTCGGCTCGTGGTTTAAAGGAGAGTTTTAAAACTCCCGGCCCCAGAGATTGAACACCAAAGGTATCCCGAAAGAGTCCCGAGGCAGCACGAGGCATCTTCAATCTTCAATCTTCGGTGAGGAGAGTTTTAGAACACGGTTCGTGGTTTCCCCATAGAGCCGAACCTTACTTAGTCCCCAAGTTCCTACCTAAATCCGAAAGAGGAGAGTTTTAGTGCCCTTCGCCCCCCACCCCGCCCAGAGGCTCTTAGATCTTTTTCGCTCAATCTTGAGCACGTAGGGGATCCCGCTCACTTTAGGACTTACCGAACGGGATTTAGGGAACAGGATTCTCCCCAAAATCCTAAAGGTTGAAGAGGAGAGTTCTGTTTTACTCCTAAAGGGGAGAGTCCCTGAATCAAAAAGCTAAATCAAGATTTATGGGTTAAGGGAAAAGTACATAGGGAATACGATTTAGGGATCCCGCGCTTGAGGATTTAGCGAAAAGGATTTTGGGAACGGGCTTCATTTTCTCGGAATTAGCGGCTCTCCTCTTTAGGAATGAAGGACCTCCAGCCTTGTGGTTTATGCAACAGGAATTGGTGGATAAGGTGAAGGGAATAACAGATTTAGGGAACAAGATTTAGGGAGTCCGCTCTTTAGGTTTCGCGAAAAGGCTTTAGGGAAGAGTACTTTTCTTTAGGATCTTGGGTCTCATCTCTAGATTTAGGACCCCACCCCCTCTTTGCAGCGTGGGCAATAGGATTTAGGGAGTAAGATTAAAGGAATAAGATTAAGGGATCCTTCTTTCTTGACTCTAGCGATAAGATTTACTGAGCAAGGTTCGTTGTTTTATGATGTAGAAGGAAAGGCCCGTTTGTAAGATTTACAGTAAGGATCCCCCTCTTTAGGACACCCCCTCTTTCGGGCTTCAGCAATAGGATTTAGGGAGTAAAATTCAGGGCATGTTTTTTAGGATTTAGGGGCAGTCCTCTTTAGGATTTAGGCCCGCCCCCCCACCCCCCCCCCCCCAGCCCCCACCTTTAGGCCTTAGGGAATAGGACTTAGGGAGTTAATTTCAGGGAACAAGATTCAGGGATCCCCATAAGACTTAACCCGAGCATCTCTGTAATTGGGTGGGCCCCCTCCCCCCCACCCCCCCCAATAAGAAAGGCAGGGTGCCGCAATAAGACCACGGCAATGTATGGATTCTCTACTAAAAACAATAGGAACGTACTGTGATCCAAACTGCAGCTCAGCAAGCAAAAAAAGAAGAAGGTTGAGGTTGAGAGAGATTGGGATTTGCATGGCTACCGCCTCATACCGAAGACAAAGTTCACGCAGGTCATGGTTCGCGTCCCTTCGATACAAAACATGTCAAACAAGGCAGTTTTGGAACTCACCGTTTCGTGAAGCAGTCTGCTTTTGCAGCATGCATTCACGAGCAGCCCGTATCAGTCGAGTCGCATAGAGAAATCCGTCATCTAGGAAAGGCATGGGCAGGCACCGGGATCTACCATCCTGCGTCGGAGAATCCTTTCCCAGCCGATGCGCTGTCAAAACCGTGGGATGATTGCAGGGTGTGGCACTTTGGGGGGGAGCGATTCGCAGAAAACCTCAAGCAACAGCGGGACGGCTGGCTCTGTGCTTAGTCCAAGCGCTTGCAAAACCAAGCAAGGATGGGGGTTCGACTTGGCTTCAGTATGGAGACCTGCTGCGTGTCGGGCCGGTCCCCCCAGAGCTGGAACCAAAAATTGTGGCTGTAGATGCCATAAATTTATACCCTTTCATGCCCGAGAAAAACAAAGGAACCTAAAAAGGAGAGATCGGGAGCAACGTTTCGTCCATGCAAAATATAAGAGAAACCTGTCAAGACATTTAAGATGATAGGATTTCAAATAACATCAAGCTCCACCCCGGTGCCCAAAGTTTCTTGAGTGATTTCTTGCTTTAATGTCAGATCCCAGAAGTGCGCCTGCTCAGAACAATCTGAAGCCAAAAATTGTGAGGGATCCGACAATCCCTGCTAACCCAAAGTGAAAGATTCATAGAGGTTACACTTTCTTCAACCGGCCATCGATCAACATTTCAAAAGCCCCAAACGGGTTGTATAAAAACCCCGAGATAAATCTATTCATCCGTCCCAGGGCTATCGTTTTATTTTCTTGATTATCGGTTTACAAGGTTTGGGGGAAGAACCAACAATTTGGAACCAACGTTCCCCGTGAGCGGGCTGGGTTTTCGTTGATTTGTAGTACAAGCTTAGTACTGGAACCGACGTTCCCGTGAGCCGGCTGGGTTTTCGTTGATTTGTAGTACAAGCTTAGTACTGGAACCGACGTTCCAGTGAGCCGGCTTAGTGCTGGAATCGACGTTCCACTGAGCCGGCTGGGTTTTCGTTGATTTGTAGTACAAGCTTCGTACTGGAACCGACGTTCCCGTGAGCCGGCTGGGTTTTCGTTGATGTGTAGTACAAGCTTAGTACTGGAACAGACGTTGCCGTGAGCCGGCTGGGTTTTCGTTGGTTTGTAGTACAAGCTTAGTACTGGAACCGACGTGCCCGCGACCCGGCTGGGTTTTCGTTGATTTGTAGTACAAGCTTATTGCTGAAACCGGCTGGGTTTCGTTGATTTGCAGTACAATCTTAGTACTGGAACCGACGTTCCCGTGAGCAGGCTGGGTTTTCATTGTTTTCATGTTTTTGTAGTACAAGCATAGTACTGGAATATCGCCTGCCTGCCCCGATATGTGCAAAGTTATCGTTTCATTTTCTTGTCTATCGTTTTACGAGTCAGAAGCACTACCCCAAACGCTTCGTGCAATTCCTTTCATAAATCGAGTGCGCGGGGTTTTAATGAGAATAACACCCCGAGTCCAGTGAATCGGGCGACTCGAGATTAAACAGAAGATTCGGCCATCTTTCACAAACCACTTGGCCGAGCTCCTGAGCTCGCTTTGGTTGTCGATAAGAACAAACAGCAATCGAGCGCTCAACCTGAACAGAAATTCTGCGAAGGGGCTCCATGAGACTGAATCTTAAATTCCAAGAGCTAATGAATTGCTGGCCGGTTTACCTTTCGGCGAGAAATCAAGCAGTAAAGATATGCCAGGCATGCTCCTTCTCTCCCTCCCACTTCTTCTTCGTCTTCGTCCGAACCTCATGGGTCGACACTCTCTACCCGACCTGCGTGCTCGTGCCGCCCACATGTGCTTTCCCAATCCCTTAGTACAGTATGTGTGTTTTCGCTCCTGCTTGCTTAAAGTGAGATTTCAATGACGAGCCTATCACTAGAGGGGGCGAGGAGACGGAGCAGACAGCACAGCTGAAAATGAAATGTCCTCGATATGTCATGGGATGTCTATGTCAAGTTTGCATCAACTTCTGTGTCGCTAGACGTTGTCGATGCAAGTCAGATCCTGATATGAGACTGAGGTCTCTGAGTCACTTCGTGCAAAATGCGCGGTTGAGAACAGCATGCTCATCTTATGCCGAGCAGCACTTGGCCCTCCTCCTTGCAAAAGCGGAACGGCAAAGTGAGGCCATATGTTTTGCCTGAAAAAGTCATGGCTTGATTGGCTCGCACCGGGCAGTGCTGACATTCACCTTTGCACTTCGTGAAGCCTGCTGAAATTAGCTGAGTGTTCTGCCAGTTGGAGAGGTCAGTCGGCGTCCGCAAAGGTGGTGAAACGAAATCAGGCACCAACCTGTGCCCGGCAATCTGGTGCAGTCTTCGGCAGTCTGCAAGGGGCAATGGCATGATAACCAGGGACGCGGCTTTGACACAGCATGCTGCAGAAAGTCGAGGCTTCCCATGTTCATGGCAGCAGCCTCTGTCAGTTTGCAATTCCTGCTGACTCCAAATCACATTATGCCGATGCTCTTACCTTGCAACCGGGAATGTGGAAGAGAGCTGCAGAGGGAGAGGGAGCGAGAGAGAGAGCGAGAGAGAGATGAAAACATACAAATAATCATGAGCGTGTGAGCGACAGCTTTAATTGACGGGTGCTCGTCTGGGGGCACGACTCCGGCGTCTAAGAGCTGGTTCGTGAGTGCCAGCGACGCCGCCAGCTCTAGATGTTCTTCGGAAGTGCCTGCATCCCGCTGGTTTGGAGATTCCAAAATACATGGTCTACACCAGCAGTCGTGCCTAAGCAGTGCGCTACAAGCCCGCTGCACTTTTCATGTAGCGACCTGGGATGACCGGCACTAGAGACTGGCATGAAGCCCCACAACTGAAGGTCTGCGGTCTCAGAAGTAGATTGTGAAACTGGTGCTTGGGCACCCTGCAGGAAGTCATCGACGTATACATCTTGGAAAGATCTGACGAAGTACTCCTCTCCAGCGGCACAGGAGGCAACATGATTGCCAGTAAGATGCACAGTTCGGAAGTATCCTGCACTGCTGACACCAGCTTTTCCTCGTCTCTGCCCTGCACATGGCGTAGTGCACACATCGAAGACTACGACGATTTAGATCTCACGACCAATTGTAATACGGAATGTATGTGAAACCGGATTTCTTAGCATTTGCAACGTGGTCCAACAGTGCTCCATATGAGCCATGACCCGGGTTAATCTGATGGATCATGAACTGGTGTTCTCATCAGCAAAGCAGAAAATAATAATAGCCTTCGCCTTCCAAGGGAGGGTGTGGTGGGTACAAAGAACTGCACGCAAACATGGAATCTGCAATCGCACAAACCAAAGTTTGTGAGTTGTCACTGTTGTCAAACGAACGGGCTTCTGGCTTCTGAGTTCTTGCTTCTGGCTTTGGTTTGTTGCTCGTTTGTTCTTCTTGCAGGCACCTTAAGCTTCGGCCGAAGGTGCTGCAGCTTAGGCAAGACGCGTCCCTCAAGTCTCCACTCCACTTCACTCCAAGGTACAAGCACTACGAGACCGAGAGTCGTAGACGTTGCAGAACAGACGTGCTTTTGCCCGAAGCGAGGTAGATGAAGACACCTTGGCGATGAGCCCCTTGCCATGCCACACCGCCAGCGCAAGCCACCGCGATCCCTTGCAACATCCTTTGCCTGCCACATCCTGCCACTCCCTTGCTTCCAACCAATTAACCAATTAAACAATCCGGGGATGTCCTGCCAGCAATGGCGTGGCACTGTTCTGCACACGCTTTCCGCATGCCCTTGTGCAGAGGGCCGGCGAAGAACTCACGCACACGATCCCCGGTGCCAGGCGACACTGGATCTTCGCTTCGCGGTTCCAGCCGAAGATCGCCTGGAAGTTCTCCTTAGGTTCTCGCACACCTCGATCAGGCGAGTCTTTTTTGCAGGCGATTTCGTTGCTTTTTGGCCTTCGGTCCTGTCTGGAGCACTTTCAAAGGCACCGCTGACAGGGCTTTCATACAAGATGCAGCCGTCGAGGTGGTCTGGCGCAACGCAACCACAATGCCGGACCGATTACGATTAAGCTCAGCGATGTTGCTTGGCTAGTGATCTCAGAACAGTCAGGAACTGAGGAGTTCAACCGGCTCAGAAACCTGGTCCGTTCTAACGATGGCCAAGTTGAACAAGAGAGTCCGCAGTCAGTGAGAACCGCCCAAAGTACAAACAAAGAAAGGGCCGGTTTGTACTCCAGCCAAAAAAATGGAATATGGATTCACGGATACACGCAACATGGCATGCGCGTTTGAGTTTCGGTGCATTCGGTGCACAAATGTACTTCACAGCCGTTCGTCTGCCTGGGCGACTCCGAATGCAAAGAAGCAACCCCTTTAAGCTGCAGGAAAATTTGCAAAGCAGGTCAACAGATGAACAATTACAGTAAAAATTCCGGCTCGCAATGTCTCGCACACATCCGTTCAAGTTCAAACTGAGGCTACAAACTCCCTGCGCACACTGCCTGAACACTGGCATCGCTGTGAGCAGGGCACCTCAGGCGTGCCATTCTTAATTTCTCTTTGAACTTTAAGCAAGATCCACTCATGCCGTTCTAATCATCCAAGAAGCAGGGCGCTGCCCAAAGACAGCTTGTGAATCCGAATGTTAACCTCGGTCGGACTCCACTGAGCTTCTGAGATTGGGAGACCGATCTGCAATTCGGGTCATTCGGGGCCAAGGCTCCACGAGTCGCGACAACAACGTAGAATTGAAGCAACTTCCTCGCAATTCAAGGGGCCGGTGTTGAGCCACCCCACCCACACACACAAAGCAAGCTCACGCTCACGACATGTGTTTGCCTTGGGACGGATGTGTCCGGTCTCAGCGCTACAAAGCGAGGGGCAGAGATGCTGCTTTTGGACAACTCCTGCATTCAGCAGGAGCAAAATGCATCTGCAAGAGCGATCTGAAACAAGAGACGTCCTCTGCTAGTCGAGCATACGGATCTTCTGGCATGTGCTGTATTACCTTTTTGCAGAGCGGGCATTCCAGGCTTCAGTAACGAACTGAACAGGCTGCAGCCGATTCGGCGAACTACCTGCAAAACATATCCACAACCTGCATTTTTTGAACGGAATAGCACCACTCAGCCCCACACAGGTCTATGTTTGCGACGGCTAGGACTTCTGCTGGCGAACAAGAACTTCTAGTTGTCATACTTACCATTCGACATCTCGACCCTTCCGATTTCACGGGGTTGAGGGCAACCTGATGCAATCTGCAACATGTGAGCCAGCTTCTTGCCAAGTCAATGTGCAGCAAAGTCACGCAATTCAAAGCTGATGTGACGACTTTTTCAAGCTTGTGCTCCGAGATGTAGTCCCGCACCTGCAGGAAATGTATGTACAGCATGCATATATAAATATATATGTATACATATATATATATATACACATGCACAGCACTGCTGATGAACGGCATAAGCTAAGTACTGAAGCAGTTTCCGCCTACCGATGTGGTAGATCAACTCTCGAGTTCACTTAGCACGCGCAGTTAGTCGTCTGTTCACTCGATGCTGACAACTGTGAGCCCATAAAGTGTCGCAAGGCACCGCGTCAGGAAGCAGCACATCGTTGCGAATGCCGGAAGAACTTTTGACAGCTGCCATGGCTTCAGCGCAAGGGCTGCCAACTATGCGTGCACTCTGTATATATGCGTCAGTTATGTTGCGGAATGGATTGGGAGGCAAGAAGAACCGAAACCAAGGCAACTTTGCTGACAAACTTAGACAAGTAGTAGCTCACAGCCCGATCTTACAAAGCCCGGTCTTGCTGCACCGGGTCACACATTGATGTCATTGTGAGACAAACGCCTGGTCTGCTTGCAGAGTCGAATGAGGAAGTTTGAACATCTCAAATCACCTAAACTCCAAACCTAAACCTGAAACCAATTCACGAACCCCTGTAGCCCCAAACCCTTTATAATGCTCCAACCTTCTCAACCCTCTAAATAAATACATAATATTTCTATATAATATATATATTATTATATTATATTATATTATATTATATTATATTATATTATATTATATTATATTATATTATATTATATTATATTATATTATATTATATTATATATATATATTATATTATATTATATTATATTATATAATTATACCCCCCCCCCCCCCCCCCGGTACCTAGGTCTCTTCTTGTTCCCGACCTCAGAGAAGTTGCCTCTTGGAGGGTTTAGGGTTTCGGGCGGCTAGGCTTCACTGCCAGATGCCTTGATGTTCGTTTGAGTGACAGTGCTGTACTGTCTCTAAAAAACCAACCCAGCAGCCGAAAATGCCGTACTGCACCCTAAAAAAACCTAAAAAACCAATTCTGGTGGCCCATACAGCCAGGCCCGCTTCCAAAGATTGGTTTTTTAGGGACAGTACAGCACTTTGAAGGCCTGAGGTGCGTTGACAGTGCTGTACTGTCCCTAAAAAACCAATCTTTTCGTGAGAGCCTACCTGTATAGGCCTCCAGAATTGGTTTTTTCGGTTTTTTAGGGACAGTACAGCACTTTCTGTTTCTGGGATTGGTTTTTTAAGGACAGTACAGCACTTTGAAGGCCTGAGGTGCTGAAAGTGCTGTACTGTCCCTGAAAAAACCAATCTTTTCGTGAGGGCCTGTCTGCATAGGTCTCCAGAATTGGTTTTTGAGGTTTTTTAGGGACAGCACGGGACTTTCTGCTTGTGGGATTGGCTTTTAGGGACAGTACAGCACTTTGAAGGCCTGAGGTGCTGAAAGTGCTGTACTGCCTGCATAGGTCTCCAGAATTGGTTTTTTTAGGTTCTTTAGGGACAGTACGGCACTTTCTGCTTGTGGGATTGGTTTTCTGGGGACAGTGCAGCACTTTGAGCACCTCAGGCCTTCAAAGTGCTGTACTGTCCCTAAATAAGAGGGCCTGTCTGCATAGGCCTCCAGAATTGATTTTTTATAGGGACAGTACAGCACTTTGAAGGCCTGTGGCGCTGAAATTGTTGTACTGTCTGAATCCTATGCACCCCACTGTGTGCAGCTATGAAGTCCGTCGCGCCCTCAGCCTTTTTTTCGCTTCCGGGGTCTGTCGAGGGTCGAGGGGGGGGGGGGGGGGGTGAGCATATGTATATATATATATGTATGCATGTATGTATGTATGTATACACACACCTCAGCATGTGTCACATTCAATAACTACCAGCAGCTAGCTTCAACTGTTTTTGTTCAACACTCGGACCTTCAAGGCCTGGTTTTGCAGAACATGCCGCAACCACTACACCACGCCCAAACCGGCAAGGCTGGTGAAAACTGGTGAAACCTCTCTGCGCAGCTTGTTTTGTGCGCTTTTCGGAGGCGCTGCGCGTGATGTCATTCCACATCAACAGCAACCTTCCACGGGCAATGTCATACTGACTACAGCTTGAACTGAAACTGACAAGCTGCTCTGCTCCTAGTTCCAAGTTATGCCTTCCCGCACCTTCCAGACAGCACTTATTGTTTGGTTGCCTTACGCACTAATGCCCTGGTACACCTGCAGCCGGGGAGGAGGGGGAGGAAGAGCATGGCGAGGTAGTGGATGAACGCAGTGTCATATGAAAGCGTCTAAGCAGGCTTAGGCTCGGCAGGTTTTGCACATCAATTGCGCTGTAAGCAAAATAGCCTGTGCTGCATCCTTGCACGCTCCACAACCCATGTATGACTACATGCTTTGCTTGCACATCGACGTTTACGCAAACCGACATGTGATGCACCTCTGTATGCGCAAGGAGCTGGTGCAAGCTTAGATTGCTTCATCAACAGCAGGATGCACCAATACAATGCGCAGCGTACATAACAAGATGCTTATCATCTCTGCTTTGCAGGTGCGCCTGGACGGCCAATACAGATATCCCCCACGCCCCACGATGGGATGACTAGCTTATGCTAGCTTCGCTGGGACCATCATTCTGGTCTTGTCTTCCCTGCATTGTTTGCGTGAACGTTCATTGCGGAGATGGGTGGGCTCGGTTGTTGATCGCTCGAAAGTGTATCAGGCTGCTGCACTTTTCAGAAATGATTTGAAACGGACATGGGTTTGCTGACTTGTCCGTAGTTGTAGTTTGTGTGTGCTGCAGCAAACCAGAATGCTCGAAATCGAAATCTTAATCCTGCCCATGGCTGGTCTGAGTTGGCACTTGGTCTGTTTCCAGTCTGGTACAGTCCTGCAGTAGGCACATTGGTTCATGACCATGCTAAGCAGTGATGGGGATGTCGCGTTTAGGGCACATGGTTTATGACAATGCTAATCGCTGATGGGCGATGTCGCGTGTAGGGCTGGGAGGACTTGCATGTTGGATGGTGTCGCGGACGTCGGTCTTCTGATGATATGCTCAGGTAGTCGAAGTTCCAGCTGATCAAGTTCCCTCGAACGTTCTGCGCGATGTGAGAGAGATTGTGTTGGGCCCTCCATGCCATGACATTCTTGTGCAGGCCTGCTTGCGCAACTGTTCGATAGTAAACGTGAGACTCGTTGTTGTTTTTGTGCCAGTAGGACATGACTGCGTGTTGCCATACGTGCGCCATGGACTATCTTCAGAACGAACTAGCCCGTCATGGCTGCTTCTAGGAGCTGACCTGTTGAGTTGTGAAGGTGACCGCCGACATGAGAAAATGGATCACTTGCTACGAGTCGAACGGTGAGACAGAGGGTGCGACAGTGAAAGAAACGTGTCTGAAAGGTGGGGACACAAAACCTTGATAACCTGCACGTAAAACTCAAGCATTTGGTAACAACCTGATGAACTTGCATCTTTGCTTTGGTTCGAGAAAAAATTACATTGAACATTTCTTTGCAAGCAAATTTGTCTTTGGAGGAACGAAGGAGAACAACATAAAGGGCTGGGTTTCACAGGGCTCCAGTAAAAAAGTCATGAAAGCCGTGAACAAACAACTCATGAAATTTCCCTGAAGTCGAGAGGCTGAAGAGAATTGCAGCAGGGGGCAAAAACGTCTCCTCCTCCCTTTTCTTCATATCTCAACATGTATCAAAAACACTTCTCATGTAATTCCTCGGGAAAACATCCTTGGACCTCTCAAAGCCTTTAATCACCAGTTTTCCCAGAGTGAGGTGCTGGGCTCTGTGAGGCACTGTCCTGTCCGACCTTAACCGACACTTTGTTGAACGTCTTTCAACAATTGATGTCTGCTGTACCTGAGCTAAGCAAGTGCCTGGGTTTAGGGTTTAAGGTTTAGGTTTTGCTGACAAACATCAAAGCACCAAACGTCGCTGTGGAGTTGCCTCGTACTTCGAGCACTCGAAACGACAGCGCTCCAGAACAGCGGCCTCAGCCGAGATGCACAATTGCTTGCGCGAGACCGAAACACACACACACACAGAGTGCAAACAAATTGCACCTAATGCACCTATAGTGTTCTCTCCTTGCAGGATTTGCAATAGTGTCACACAGCCTTCCCACACTGGCCAATCTTGGGCGGTGATGAGCGAGGGTGTACACACATGCACAAGCGCGCGTATTCACCGATGGAAAGTTCGGCTCTGCCCATCGATGTGTCCTGCATCGACAGAGCAGAATATGATTGATCACATTTCAGCACTGCATCAGAACTGGTTAATTGGCAGTTCGCAAATTACCAACATTCCGTTTCGAAATATTTCAAGTCAATAGGCTTGATTGCATCTAGTGTTTTCGAAGTCCTGGTCTGTTTCGGACTTTAAGCGAAGCGACACGAGGGGGATGAGAGGTCACGATGCGTCGACATCTTCGGGGATGCAAAGATGCGCCAAGTGACATCCAGTGGAGGAGAGTTCTTGCTCTGCATCATCCTGCAGTTGGCGCAGGGATGTGCAAGGTGGCATGGTGGCTTCTCACGCTAGCATACCATGGAGAATCTGCCTCCCCACAAAGCCACGCAGCGTCAACATGCGGTCAACATCGGTCAACACATGAATTGCCCTGCAGGATTGATATGGATTGATAGCTTTGTACATGTCTTGCGGGATGTCACTGCGTAGATGCGTAGATGCTGCATACGTCGGCATACGTGTCCTTTGCATCTCACTCAGGTGCTTCCGCCTACCTCGTCGACTCTGCAAGAACCTAGGCAAGCAGGCAAGCCCTGGATTGAGATCACGGGCAGCGGCAAAGACGATAATGATGGATTTTTCTTATAAGAACATGGTCAGATGATAAAAAGACCTTTAAAATCTACAGGCATAGTAAACACAACTGATCATAGCACCCTTCTGGCTTATGTTTCCTCCAGAAGCTCACCGGCTGGGAAAGACCCGACAAGCAGTTCGCAGAAACAAAGCTGCAGGCTCCATCGCTACATGCTGCTTCCTGGCCTTAGCTGAAAGGCCGTCGCCCTGTGGCAGCGCTCTCAATCTCATGGTTTTGTCATGGGTAAGAAAATCACTCAGATCTCGGACATGACAAGCGTCTTGACGAACAGTGAATGTCAGACATTTTTTTGTACATGAACGGATATTCCCTCAAGTCACAACACCTCGAGACTCCTTGCACATCTTGCATCAAGCTGCTGCGCCGACGGGATTCGCCGGACGAAGCTCGCCAGGTCGGTCCACATACCTCTTGCAAACCATGAGTTCGTGGTTACATGTGGTTACATGTGGTTACTGCAATTCAGATCAATTCAGTGAAACGTCGAATAACGTCGATACTGAAATACTCGACAGCTGCAGGTTGGGACTCGATGATGGCCATTGGCGTGGTGTCACGCTCTCGGTACCTCTTGCATGGCACAAAACTTCACTCCAAAAGCAGATGCTCTGAATTGAAGCTGTGAAACCTCCATAGATTCACCACTCGCGAGAAGTGGAAGTGCCGATCCTTGAGTCAGCGCCGACCGAGTTCCCCTTGCGTTATTGTTTATTATTGTTATTGCCCTCAGTCGCGGTCATGCATCTCCACCCCGCGTGGCCACATCAGCAAGAAAACCCGTTCAGTCTTGATGCAACATTCGCCAGGGTTTAAACAAAACGTTGAGGGCTACTCATGCACCTGATAACGAGGCAGCATCCGCTCATAGAGAATCCGCCTCGCCTGCATCAAACACATGTTTGCTTTAACTAGCTCCTACGTCTTCAGTTGGTTCATCCACGCGAAAGCTAAAACATGATTTTGCCGCAGGTCTGCCTCAGGCGAGGTCAGCATACTTTCCACCTGGGTGCAACATCTGCGCTACAACACGACATCCAGGCAACTTGACTGCAACGCCTGTCACTCGCAATCACATTCTGCAAGGGCCACCTTGACAAACACGCATATTGAAAAATGAGTGGATCCTGCCCGGCCTCCCCCTCGAAAACCGAAGCCATTGTCTACTAGAATAGCCTGTCGGGTTTGTCTGTATTCAACCTCAACTGGTCGTCTGCCCCTCCATCCGGAGAAGCGCAGCAGCAAAACCCCCTTGATTCTCCGACCTTTGCCATTACTGATGCCCTTGCGCAAGCTCTTCTTTGAGGGTGCGGCGAGTCCATCGTGATACGGGGAGTTCTTCTTTGCAAGGAAGACTACTTCCTGCGCAATCCATCTGCGCGCTTTTCTTATCAACTGTCCGCATTGTGTGATGATGGCAGGATGCCAAGCCCTGTTTTGCACAAGCAATATCGTGGACCCCGCGTTCGAGTCTACACATAACGCCAATGCACAAAACAGAAGAAATGTGCAAACGGGCTGCGTCGCGGGTAGGCTACCCGAAGCAGGAGCGAGGCCAGGCATATCTCTACACCCCACTACTCATGACGTGGCAGAAACTAAGACAGAAACAAGCATAGCGCATACGACAGCAGGCCAACCCAAAACCAGCGGGTTTCGAATGTTTTGGCATTGTATTTCATCTGTACACGCCTAGCCAGTTTTTGTAGCACAGAGAAAAGGACTGAAAATGCGTGCAAAGGCCAGCACTTTTTTTATGAAATGGTTGCGTCGCAGGTCGGCTACCCGAGGTAGATGTGAAGCTAAGCAAAGCTTTGGAGCGCATTTAGAATCAATGCAAGGCTATTCGAGGCTAGGAGAGCCAGGCAGGAGGAACGAAACGCATCCTACAAGCAATGTCATGAGCCAAGCTGAAAATCTAAGACAGGCCGGATCAAAATTCCTCGTCCACTGGCTGCTCATCCAAAGGGGCCTCCATGGTCTGTCAAGGAAATGAGTACCACAAGGATGCTGGCGCGTATCGCCGCGTTGGGGGAAGCCACCCAAATTGCTTTGGACGGGAAGGGATTCACATGCGGAACACGCAGCCTGGAAAGCGACTCGCAGTGCTTCGCGGGGGGCAAGAGACCCTGCTCCGGGCCGGACTGGGGTCAAATGCCCGCAACAGATTTGTGCTGCTTTCGAGTCGATGGCCCTTGGCAGACTCTGGAGGCGTTCTCATCTGCAAGTGTGAACTCCGAGGCCACGATCAACTAACAGGGCAGCGGCTTCTGGTCTTGACTGGGCGTGCACTCGCGCAGGCGGAACGCGGCGTGGCATGGGTTGTTGTTGCCGCAAGCAGGGTCCGCAGCGAAGTCGTTCACGACACATTTCGGAAGAAGAAGTGCTTGCAGCAAGCCAGCCTGTTACTTAACATCGCCAGGCTCCAGAGGAAGACAAAGAAAAGGCTTGTGAAGCCGATGAAAGTCCAAGCTACCATCTGAAGTGCCATTGGTGCTTGGAAACCTCTGGGGCTTCAGGGGTAGAAAACCGCTACCAAGGCTGAGGGAAAGGCGGGAGTGCCCCACAACTCCTGATCCACATATATCCAGATCGTGGCATGGCACTTTATGGGCATTGTTTTGGACACTGTGGATCGCGGCCCGTGTGCCTCCAGAACTCTACGTTATACCCTACTTAACAAGCAAGACTCTACGTTGTTGTAACAAGCACATCGTTTGCGGGTCCTCTGCATATTGCTGCAACTCCTTGGCTCGGGCCAACGATGTCTCCATCTTCTGGTCCTTCGCATTGTTACACTCCGCTACACTCCCATCTGCCATGTTCGCTCTGGGCTTTAATTGGGCTCTTTGACTGTTGCTGTCAAGCCCGCGCTCCCGAACCAAGATGTTCAGCATGTCCTTAGCAGCTGTCAGTGCAACTCGACAAGTGTCATCACATCAACACGGAAGTATGAATCTGTATCCAGCGACTTTCATCATCTTCCATTGCTTGTGAGAAGGTCCAAAGACTTTGTGGTAAACCTGGCAAGCTGTGCAAAAGGCTGTCTTTGTCTCAGGCAAGGCTGAGATTCACCGTGAGACTCACCGTGAGATTCATCGCATCACAACGGAACTTGAGGTGCAGAGCGACATCCGTGTCCAAGCGATGCGGGCTGACGCGCTTGCCCTTGGACCGCGCCCCCTTTGCCAGGTTCCTCTCGTGCTGTGAAGAGATGTGCCCCGTGTACATGCATCATGCACTTAAACTACTTGCCGTGACGCAGCGTGTGACCTCAAGCGATCGTGCTCGTGTCACATCACCGTACCTTGTAGTAACTATCCAGCCCATTTTGGCCGGGCAGTCATGCAGTCGCCTTGGCAGTAAAACGCAGCTCTCTCCAAGCAAATCTCTTCAACCATGCTAAACTGTTTCTTTCCATTTTCTGAATGCGAGGGCAAGACAGACATGCGTGTCCACCGTCATGTCAACAAAGAATAATTGTTTCGAGTTTCAATAAGCCAGGGGTCCATGCGAAGACAGCCGAACTTTCTACCAAGCTTTGTGTCTGAGCGACTTGAACAAAGCAGCTTCGATCCACCAAGCTACAATCATATAGAGAGGCATCCTGCCTTTTTTGGCGATGTTTGCTTGCAGCATGCATTTCGGGCTGGGGGATTTGGAGGTGCAAACTGAGCGCATGTTTCTCGCGCTGGGACGCAGAACTCAGCTGGCTACTGAGCTTCACCGCTATGATCCGCTATGTGTGCCTGTGCTATGCCAACCATAAGTAAGTAAGGGGCAACTGCTTGGTATCAGAGGCTCTGTGCTACAAACTTTCATGACTACTCTACATCACAGTAATGCATACTGATGAGATCTTGCCCGACGGCTGTCAACGTGCCACCATGAAGTTGAGACTACCTTGCAAATACCGCATTCTCACTTCTTTGCCACGTCACCGCGCGCTTTCTTTGCACTCTCGCTTCCCTGGCAACAAATATCATGTGTGCAGCCTTACAAGGCTAAACTGATGGTGACATGGACTAATTAAGATGTACGTGTATGGAAGGTTCATTTTATGTCCACCGTGCCGAGCCCCTGCTGCATCAACTTGACTTTTACATACTTTTACGGGTTAGGACGGTTCCGGTTAGCCAAGGCTGCCCTTTTTCCGGGGCACTTGTAGGAGCCGGTTTTACTCACATCAGCCCGCTTGAACTCACATCGCCTTAGTGTGGAAACCAGTACACGGCACTGATACACATCAATGTCAAAACATGCACGACCCCAGACCCGATGCAGACATTGCGCGTGGTCCTCAGAGGGTAAGTAAGAGTTCAATACTCACAACACCTGACGGACGCTCATATGGCCCAAAGTGTGATGCCCCAGCGCGTATGCCGCTGAGACAAAGCGAGGCATTGTATCCAAATCTATCATGAACTTGTTCGTGGGAGCGCCCACACAAAGCATTGCTTTGCATGCATCAGCAATTTACTCGGTTCACTTGACTGCTCAGTTGATGAAGAGATTAACCCGAAGAAACGCTGAAAGCTTCTGTGGAAGGCTTCATTTGTGACAGAAAGCGGAATAGGATGAAAAGGGAAAATCAAGATAATTGCTCTGCTCTTCAATCCGGGGGCCTGCATCCGGATGCTCTTTCTTGGCTGTTCAGTAATGACCTGAAAATCCAGAACGAAAACGCAAGGATACCTGCAGGCCGATGCCAGAAGTCGAAGTTGCTGCCTCTCCCCAGGAGGCGATGGGAGCGTCACTGGACTTCTTGACACCTATCAAAGTCACCTGGCATCTGTCACCGCATCAACATGCATCAACTGTCCTCATGGATTGAGAATTGGTGTCAATGCCTTACCAATGCAAAAACACAGAGACGAATTGAACACCAGCGAGGTGACCAAAGTGAAAAGGTGCCAGGCCGATGGAAGCACAAACAGACAAGAAGATCTGCACAAGAAAGCTGACATTGCTCTGCGCCCACTCTTGCAGTAGTTCACTCATTTAATATTGAGACCGAGGTTGCGATCAAAGGAATCGAGTTCCAGCCCAACACGTGGCTGTTGTTTTGGAATCATTCTTGCATCCTGAAAAGCTGTTAAGAATACAGAAGTTATGCAAGCCGTGTACCTACAGAACTTTCGGGCCGGGAATTTCTCAAAATGTTAATGGGCATGTTGCGACTCAATTTTATTGTCGGCATTTCACAGATGCTTACATAACAACCGTATGAACAAATCAAGCATGAAAATAATTCAGGCGCCACAGTTGATGATTTCAAGATTTGCAACGAAGGTGAAAATCACGAACTTAGTGAACCAAGTGAAACGCAAGGGCTCAACCATGTTCATGAACCCTTGGTTGCGGAGAGACCAAGGTTTTGTGGGAGGTTCTTTCTTGTAATCGAGGGTGTTTGCCCCATAAATCTGCCATCCTGGTCCTTTGATTCTTGCTGGACTGGTTTCGTCGCTCAAGGACTGAGCAGTACTAGAATGCAAGCTTCAAGCTGAGCGCGTCCTCGTGTCCTTTTTGATGTAGCGATGTTGCCAAACATCTGGCACGTGAATCGCCAACCTGATCCAAAATGCGCAGAACGTGCTCTGATGGGTGCTCTCTGTTCGCTAGGGCCCATTGATGCCCACTGCCTTGCCGGAGACCCAAATGTCACGCAGCCTGCCACGCGCTCGACACTTGCGAGCGTTGCAATGTGAAACCGCTGGCATTCTGGTAAATTGGCGCCATGCATACCCGCCCTCTGGTCGTCCAGCTGGTATGTATGACATGGCCTCAAGTCGGTTGTCTGACAGACTTGGTCAGACCTGGTCAACAGCGCACATTGGGCCTGGCTGGAAACACTGCAAGGGCCAAGAGAACGGCCAAAGAGCGATTCCAGCTGTTGAGCCAAAACGTGGATAACATAAGGGCTTTCCTGCATCTGCAGCTGTTGCATTTGCGGGGGACGGGAAGTGCGGCCACGATTTGCTCCGGCAGTCAATAGTGAATAATTCTCAAACCTTGTGCGCCCCTTCATGCCTTTCGAGTACGTAGCGACCTACAAGGAAGCATAAACGCTAAGTGATTTCCCAATGCGAGCTGTCTTCAAGTCGCCAGCCTAGCTCCTCCATAACAAAAATGTGGACTCATGGACTCCCTGTGCAATCGGCGGAATGAGCTGCTGTTCTCGCTGACAACTTCGTTCACCGTCACCCAAGTCACCCAACTTCAAACCCATCTTTAATAACACTGCCTTCGACAAAATTAGCGCACACCACGGACAACTTAGAAGTGATTTTCCTGCAAGGACGCCTCTGCAGCGAGACATTTAACTGCGACTGCTGCTTGTTGGCAGCAAGTCCTTTCCAGCACGCCTGCGGCACGACTGCGGCAATCCCCTCGCACACTCACCTTGCAGAATAATCCTCAATCGGCCGACATACCTCCTACTGGTATGGAAGATGGCAAATTTGTTGCATCACCCCGCGGGCTTCCAAGAATCACCTCAACTCTAAAACACTCCGAACCTTGGCAGGATATGCAGGATTGACCTTCCTGTGGAGCATCATCGGTCAGCACAGGCAACTCTGAAATTGCGCGACAGGTGCAAGACCCAGATTCCACGTGCACACGCGCTTGTGGCTGAAGCCGACAAGTGACCACAAATGGGCCGAAGAGTCAGTCTTGTGGACTCCACTGCCAGCTTCCAGCACCTTGCTTGCACCTCGATCTGAGCCGTCTCTGCCATTCCTTCGGGTATGGCGGGTATGGTATTTGAATATATTTGAGCTGCGCTCATAGTGCCCACAAGAGCAATAGAGGTTTCTGAACAGCAGGCGGCTCCTAGTTCTAGGAGTCCCATGCACATCTAAAAAACTTGATGAGACTGGAGATGGCTTGCAGAATCACAGACATAATAGCGATGTTCAACCTCCTTTTTGTTGAGCCCTTCCCTGTACAGGCAAGCTTCTCAAGTCTCTCAGAGTTCGGGGTCCTTTGGTGTCCCCTTTGCAGTGGAATTTTTGGTGCGGGCGCCGGGTGTCTTGACGACTTAAGTTCAGTCCCCTAAAGCCAGCTTCTCGGTTTCAGCGAGCGTCCAGGGTACCAGTATACGGCATAAGGACCTCTGAAGATACTGGATGATGGTTTTGGCGAGATGTAGTTCGTACGAGCCCACAACCAAAGCCCAGTTTGCTTCCTCTAGAGAAACGGCCGCGATCTCCTATACGTGACCACGCTCGTGCTCACAGAATATATGCAGGTCCTAGCCATTCTAGCCCATCCAAATGCGCCCTTTGTCGTATCAACAAGGCAACTCTCCACTGCGCCACATCATCTCAAGCTTGCTGGAAGGAAACAGGCCGGTGGTGGCCATTTCCTCTTCCGAGCGCCCAAGCATTTGTCAATGTGAAGACTGCATAACAGCAGTGAATTTTGCCTGAGCGCGGTATTCTGATGACATACGATATTCAACACAAACAAAGCGCGCCAAACTGCTTCAACCACGCGACTTGCTGCTTTCGCAGTTGGCTCGGCACTTTCTTTCCACGGCCGGCCTTGTAAAACGTCACCCTCAATTCAAATCATGCAGCTTACGAACATGAACCGTTGTTGCCCCATGCGGGCCTTGTCGATGGCCTTCTCCCGTCTTATCCCTTTACTGCGCTGTGTTGTCAGATCTGTCGGGCCTTTCCGATTTGTCACTGCCTTGGCAGCTTTGCTATCATCCAGGCAGGCGACCTGCACACGATGTAACACATTCACACACTTGTTGGGAACACACTTGGACACGCGCCTGCACTGGAGGTAAAGAAGTAGAAAAGACAGTCTGCTAGAGGAAGTGACGGGGAAGATGATGATGCACTGTGAACAAAATGAATGATGTGCCATATGAATGTGCAGCGCGTGTTCTGTAGGCGTTGAAGACATGTTGCCGTGAATTGTGTTGCGGTGATTCTTGTTGTCCACGTTTTGACATGCTGAATGTGAT